CCCCACAATGCAGCCGATCAAGTGGTACAGGTCACTGTGCGTTTCACACCCAGCGAGATCCGCGTGCAGCCGGGACGTCGCGTGCATCTAGAATGTCGTACAGATGCTCCCGGAAGTAGTCCAACCGTACGATTCGCTGACGGTCGACCAATCAGTGAAGACTCGCGATTTGTTATCACCAGGCCGAACACAGAGACAGTGGTGATCGAAGTACCGTACGGATTTGATGCGTCCACTCGTCGAGTTGTCCTCATGTGAGTTCGTCTCATTTGCTTCTACTGAATCTGGTCAAGTACAATGACATTAACAGCCTACTGGAATGGGGTGAGAGCCGGGGTGGGGGGCGGGGAGCATTAAGGAGCAACCAAATCCCGCATTTGTTTATCTCAGCATGCTCAAACTGATACGTATATGGGTGCCGATATTAAAGCTGTCTATTTAACCATTGGATTTGTTTGGATATTATGTGGTCAACTCGTACATTCTGTCCGTCATCTTGCTAGTGCCCGATTATTTGACTTGACTCAACTTGATAAAACAGATTTGCACATCGTCTGATCTTGATGCATCACTATTAGAAATATAAACTAAAAAGATTACTGTCTATAAGACGTTTATCACTTGCTTCGTCCCCCTCCTCCGCCTCTTTGACATTTGTCCATCCGTCTGGCTGCAGATGTGAGTCGCCCACTGGAGATAGCAAAACATCGACAATTCATGTGGATCAGGGCTGCCAGGTTGGACAACGACGCTGTCCCGGAGGTGATTGTATCTTTGTGGGACAATTTTGTGACGGGATTGAGCACTGTCCGGACGGATATGATGAGCGACCGGAGAACTGCGGTGAGTTCAGTTCGTTTTTGTTTTTTGAACGCAAACATTGCCTGCTGTGAAGTTTTCGACCTTACTTATAAACANATGTATATGGTCAAGGGCTTTCCGCATTCATGAATGCATTTGCATTTCGTCCTTTCGTGTATCTGGAAATATTTGTTTTCGAAAAGAAAGAAAAACAATACACGTGAAGTCACATGGACCTGTGCAAATGTTTTACATTCAATAACACAACTTTGTCGGAAAGTCGTTGATCTGTTGACTTGTTTACACAATCATTGTATTACAATCTGATGTTGAAACATTGGGTTCCCTTCATTCAGTTCGTTAGAACAGAAAGAAAACAAATACAGCAAGATGTCAACATTTCTTTCAATCTCCTCAGTCGCTACAACGTAAAACAATATGGTATTCTTGCAAGAATCTTTGATAACTACAGTAGTTAAATGGACAACAGTCAGAGGAGCCGACGGGGTGATAATCAGTTTCAGAGTCAGTACCACGATCATTTGGGTGACTGCTTCAGAAACATTGAGGCTGGTGAATGTGGCTTACGTAAATTGATAGCCATCGCCTCTTTGAAAGCCAAGAGTCTTGGATTCGTGTTACGTAACAACTAACTGAACTACAAAAGCGGCTACACAATGTGTTCAGTGGTCATGAGATCTTTTTCGATTGATGACTGTGGTGTTTTCTTATCAGACTGACCTCTAAGGTTGTGTTGTACCGTTGCCTGTACAAAACATTTTGGAACGTTTCAAACATCTGTTGTGATGGGGCCTATTTGTTCTGCGAAGCATGTGTCACCGCAACTTCACATTAACTGACGGATGACATTCGACGCCGAACTGAGCAGCTGAATCTGTTTTCAGTTGTCCAGACGAATTCCCTGAATGTATAGTATCAAACGAAGCTGGACAACAGGAACTGTTCGACTCAGTGTCGCCTCGAGCTTCTGATGCACATCGTTCGTTTGATAATCACCAGTTAACGCCAGTCTGAAGAAAACGCATATCTCAGGTACTTTGCAAACGGGATCGACTGGTGGCCTTCGTCTTATATGAATATCAATAAATTTCTGTGAATAATCATGATCCGTTTGTGTCCTCCGTAAAAAGGCTTCTTCTTCTGCTTGAAGTGTATCAGGGAAAGAATTATTCCTGACACGGTGGAAGAGAGTTTTCACCAAACCTCTTTTGTATTTCACAGGAGAAAAAATAGCATATTGTATGTATCGTTCACTCTATGTGGTCATCCGGTAGACGGAATTTTGTTAGATCCCATATGAATCAGAGTTTACTGACTTCAGAAGTGATTTCTCCCTCCCCTGATTTGTTTCCTTTTAACCACTGCATTCATCAAAACTTTCTAGTATAAATGCCAGTTTGTTTCAGGTTGCAGCGACTGAGGAGATTAAAACAAATTTTTTATTGTCATTTCGCGGTCGGTTGAGTGAAATTGGGTTCTTTTAGTTAATCCCAACCCTGACGAAATGTGTTCAGTAAAAACTGCTTAAATTATGAAACGTTTCATGAGAAGGTCAATTGAATGCTGAGTGCTTTTAATGGATCACGTTTCTCGATTTTCGACGCTAGCCAACATCCCGCTCGCTTTGGTTACGGTTTATCTGTAGCTGGTTCATATAATTTTCACTTCACTGTCACTTTTTCTCGTTTAGCCATCTGCGATCCAATCTCGGTGCCTTGTCAACCAGTTAACGGACAACAGCCATCGGTTACGCACTTCCAATTGCATTGGCTTTGCGACGGAGACAACGACTGTGGGAATGGATTTGACGAGCTGAACTGCCGAAACGGTAAGCACCCGGGTCCGGTAAGGTCACTCATTATCGCACACACAAAACATTTCTTACAGGGTCAGGGATCTGAAGCACGCTTGACTCTGATACGATTCTGTAGCTGTTGCTGCGTTGCTAAGACGAGGAGGCTAAGCGGACCGCTCTTAGATGTCTCATTGTGTCATCGTAAGAATAAGACCATCTTTGCCAATTCCAAGCATGGGGTTGGAGCTTAGATCCACGTATTCCTACCCGTTAGAAAACATTAATATTCCGTTTGGAACAGCAAACTGGGGAACGAACTAGCAGCCTTCGTGTGCCAGACTATCGAGCGGAAGGTGATCAGGTTCACAGAACATGTCGGTGCAAATTATCGCCGTTAACCTCTTGCAAACACTTCTCTCCTGGCTAACGCTGTTTCTATTCTAACGGTCCTGTGTTCCCTTGCTAGCATGTGTGTACTTTTATTGTGGAACAGCGAACAGATTCCCATATATTTATCAAGACATTTGTAATGTTATAATGAGCTGAGTCAGTCTGAGACCAAGTAGTATCGGTGGTCACTAATCCGGTTGGATGTCTGTGCCCCGCAGTTCCCGTCTTATTTCACAATGCACAGTTATGTACATTTCAACTTAGTAAAAACATTTGCAACGCCCGATTATATCTCCTTGCTCTCTTCCTCTCTCAGTCACAAGGAAAATTTATCGAGACAACTGATGTGTTACATGCGATTGCTAGGCGGCCTCGCAGGTGTATCTTCGAAAATCACTGAGCAGTTGTGAATCTCCTTCTTACAAGAATTTCGCTTCGTCCAGAACCATCGCTATGAAAGTTTGATTGTAATCCTCCAGTTGGCCGTAACTGAGTCAAGTTTAGAATAAGTCCTTATTCGTGTTTATGTGCGGCTTTCATACAGCTAGTGGAACAGCTCTCAAACGTATGACCCGAATCCGGATGAGTCCGCATTTTGATTCGCTCAGGAGCACGCTCGGACAGTGTGGGAAAATCGATGCCCCCTTGTGCTCAAAAGTAGGCATGGAAATCGACCTGAAGTTAAATTTTACAAAACCCGCATTAGATCCCTAAAATCTTTCCGTAAAACTGTTTCAGTTTACCGTACAATGTAGCGAATTCGAATAACGTATGTCAGTGTACATAATCAATAGATTGTGCCATTTGAAGCCATCAAACTGGAATGACTCATTGTCTTACCTGATGAGCGAAAACAACCATTCATCCAGGCAACCAAACAGCTGGTCAGAAAAATGTTTGTCGGTCCGTACTGCTCACTAGAACCTGTAGTATTATGTCACTATTCGTATTCGTAGTTCGCTGTCTCAATCGGTCTATTTTGTCTTACAGATACCCGCCATTTGGATCCGAGCTGTGGCTCAACACACTTCCAGTGCACTTCATCACCGTATCAACACATCCCATTCTCCTACTGGTGTGACGGTACCATCGATTGCCGTGGTGGTGAAGATGAACAGGACTGTGGTACGTCGGGTAACATTCGATTTGTTGCAAACATTCATGCACTGTGCTCTCGTGAATCAGCGCTTCTTGACCCTCATCGAGTAGTCCAGGCTAGTACAATGTCATCTAGATACTTTGTAAATTGCATCGATCTGTTCTGTTCTTCCTAAACCTATCGGATCAACTTAATTCAGATACAATTGGTATTGGTGATTGGATGAAGTAGTACGCAACTGGATGATCACTAAAAGTTCATCAGTCATTGTTGTGTCCCGTTTAAGTATAGATTACCACCCAGTCACTTGCGCTGTACGTTTCTTGTCGAGGGCGCACATGTAGCCGATTCACATGCCGGTGAGCAAGCATGAACGGATAACACGTAGGCAGGCCAACAACTAGCTCAAGCGTTTCACGAAATCCGTATGCAGCCAAGCTGGCATCCAAACAGTCAATCAATCAGCGCGGGAAAAGTCCAATAATAACATCTGATTGGCTGGAGCCGATGGATTTTGGAGTAGAATCAGTTCGCATGTTGTGAGTGTGTGTGTGTGCTAGCTGACAGCATCTGTCAATCAATCAATCCGGCCACAGGCATGCGTGACATGTAAACCGATCACTTTTAGGCCTTAACAATCACACTGTGTCAACCTGTCACAAATGAACTGACCTGGCAAGAACGGGGTTTCATGAAAACTCTGCAGGCGTTTCATCCAGTTTATTGGGAATCTTCAGCAGAGTGCGTTTCCATTGCAAACCAGGAATGTATAAAACCCAGAAGAGGACGTTTATTATTCCCCCTACGCCCTCCCTCCCTCCACACACACGTTTTACACTAGGCTAGCCAGGCTGAATTTGCCAACTATTGTATCAGATCACTACGGTGCACTTTCGCCTCTTCTATTAAATGATTTTTCCAGTCATATAAGCACCGAATCCTTGGTGAACATCTGCAGAACCAGTTGACTGGTCACCAATAAGCAAAACGTATCACGGTCGAAAAGTATTAATGCAATAATTAAAACTCTTAGTATGAATATCATCGGCGAAAAACTTTTCATCGAGATCCCGATATCTCAATAGATCACTTTAGAATTGCTTGCCACTGTAGAATTCATATACATTCTTTATCTACAAAACATTTCGTCAAATGCCATTTACTAATTAAAACAATCAAGCTCCTATATGCTCCCTTTCTTCTTTCCGCTCACTTGTGCATCAGCACGACCGGCGATTGTTGAATCCGGTCATCGGGAACCGTATAAGGTTCGTCCCGGTGACACACTGGTCCTCGAATGTGAAGCGTCCGGCGTTCCACCACCGATGATTATATGGCGTTTCAACTGGGGCTGCCTTCCTGATGTTGCTCGAGCGCGGATCGAAGTGGTTCCCGGACGTTCCGATTGTCGTGGATCACGTAGCCGTTTGACAATTACCGGATTTCGTGCAGGCGATGATGGAATTTACAACTGTGAGGCGTTGGCTTACAGTCACCGTGCCATGTCACAAGATATCCTTGTGCTGCTGGACGATTAAACCCTGTACTTGGGCAGTGCTCTTGGTTCTTTTCTGTTGCTGTTAAAGTTTTCCGAATGTTAGGCGTATTGTTTTTATTCCTCCCACTTCCTCCATTTCCAATCCAACAACGCCCATCCCTCCCTGCCCCGATGATGAATCGTTCCCCGGTTCGGGCGGGCGGGCATCAAATGATAATGACAACCATTTGATCGATTTAGTAAAATTTAGTCCGTTTTTTTAGGGGTACGAAATTTTCTTTCTCTCTCTCTCTCATACACACTCTTCATCATTCACATACACAACACGAACACACGCAGACATGCACACACGCATGGAGTAATTCTTTCATCTGTTTTGTCCCAACTCATCCGTGCGCAAACTGAAACAGGTATCATGAAACAGTCCACCTGTTTGAATCCTTCTCTCTCTTTCTCTCTCACCCTATCCCATGACTTATCTCTATCCACATAATAATGTATGTCTAACGATTGTGATCGATTAGAGGATATTTTATGCATGTTATCGAGGTGTCGTTTGTTGTTGAAAATCTTGCCCTGCTCTGTTCTCGTCGAGTCTGATAATTGATGATCGCGCAGAAAGGCAATGGTTCGTGTGTGCTTATTGAGCTCACTCCTTCGCGTTCTCGTGAAGCTCAGTTAACTAGGCCCAGGAACAGAAACATTACTGATCACGAGGTTCCTTGAGTTTTTTCTCTCATCCCCTTTTTTATTTAACTTCGATATAGATTTAATTATGGATACAGCCCTATCCTCGTGCGAGGATAGTGGCATCGATTTACTCCCAGGAGGTAAACTCTCTGATCCAGAGTATGCAGACGACATTGTGCTACTGAATGAGGATCCAGGTAAGTTGAAAGCTTTTCTGGAAAGTTTGACTGTTAGTGTGGCCATATTCGGTAGGTGTTTTGCACCTTCAAAGTGTAAAATGCTACTACAAGATTGGATTGGTCCAGCATTGTAATGATTGTAGTAGCAGTAGTAATATGCACGGGATTCGGAATACAAGCAACGCAATAGGAATCACCGGACACGAGTCAAAGATCAGCTGTCACGGACTGGATTACGGAAGCACCGGACCGCAATGGCACAAGCTCGCAATATCCCAGGTGAACGAGACGCGAGGGAAAGGCCACGGGAATAGTAGTACGTAGTTCGTTTATTGAAAGAAATGAGGTCGATTAAATAATGTGCAAAAGAAGATCATTAGTTATCTGGGTTTCCACCAATCGGATCGCAATACTGCTTGCACAATCTTGCTTCCTTCTGCACTGTCTTGGATTGGTTGGCACGATCTGCCTATGGCGTGTAGTCGGAAGTCGTACGTGTCATTGACGTCACCTTTCAAATTTGATTGATCGCATGTGTCCGAAAACTGTGACGCGCCACTCCAGGGTAGGCGTCATCTCGTAGGCCTGAATTACAACAAGCACTCAGCCTCACTCTAACTGGAGGAGTAATAGAGTAAGTGGATAAGTTTTGTTATCTGGGCAGCTACATCTCATCCGGTGGATGCATCACGGATGAAGTGTTAGCTCGCATACAGAAGGCTAATTTGAGACATCTGTGGAGCCGTCACGACATCCGTCTGTCAAAGGTCGAGTGTATGCTGCAGCATTCCGGCTAGTTCTACTATATGGAGTAGAAACTTGGCCAATAAGAAAATAGGATAAAGATAAACTGTCGCTGTTTGAACATCGCTGTCTACGCAGCATTGCACGAATCTGGTGGGGCAGCCGGAAGAGCAATGCTGAGGTCAGGCGCAAAGTTTTAGGCAACCGCGGTCGCCCACTGGAGCAAGTGGTCGACCTTCATAGATTACGTTGGTTGGGGCATGTGTTACGCACGTCACCAAACAGGATGCCGCGGCCAGCGATGTTTGCCGAGTGTTAGGTAAAAAGACTATTTTTACCTAAAACTGACAATTTTTCGAGTGTCTGCAATTCGGAACATCTCGAATCAATACCAATCTCGCGGAGAATAACAATCATATCCCGTCATACGGAGACATTCACTCCGTCCGTCCGATGCGTGATCGATTGAAATTCGCTAACTCCGTGATTTATGATCAATCGAACTTTGCTAACTGTACTTGATTGGCACAATCTTTTTATTGCATTAATCGATGCTA